AAGATTTTCAATGACTGATTTAATTTCTTTAAAAGTTTTAAGAACTCTTCTTTTTTTTTTCCATTTCTTCTTGCAATGTGGTATATTTTTTTGGAAATTCATCCACTTGCTCTAAATTAAATTTATGGGGGTAAGGTTCTTTATATCTTCTTTCTGGTATTGCAGGGCCTGCAATGATGATGCTCTTATTCTATTTTATTTATTTCTGCTCTTGACTCTTCGTGTTGGTTTTTTTCTTTCTTTCTTTCTTTTTTTTTTTTTTTCACCGTCTGTCTCAGAAGGCCTCTAGCTTCATTAGAAGTTGGCCAAAGAATCCACTTTGGGCCTCATCTGGGTTTTCTGGTATATATTGCTTTTTTTATTATTATTATTAATTTCTCCAAGCTCAGCTCTATTTCCGCCCTTCACTTTCACCGGCCTTGCTTTACTAGAGTGGAAAGACTTGTTTTATAATAGTGAAAGCACAGGGCAGAATACTCGGGCAAAGTCTTGGAGCAAGGCATGAGCAGGCACCTGCATGCTCCAGCCTTGTCCCAGCCTTTCCCTTTTACCCAGAAGATTGACAGGAAGAGGAGCAAAGAGCTCACCTCGCCCCTCCCTCCATCAGTGGCCCTAGCCCCAGAGTTCCTGAAACAAGAGGCCTGGACACATCAGAGGTTTTCCAACCATGTCCCTCTGGGCTTGAGCAGGAGAAAAGGGAACCAGCCTGTGACCTAGGCAGCCCCTGCCATCAGAACTCAACTCCTCTGTCTCACCTGTTGCACTGCCACACTAAACCCGGCTGAGCAGCTAAATGAAAGTTGGCAGCCGACCTGGTGATCAAACCGACTAGATTTCTCACCCAGCGTCACCACTCACTTCCCTTGAGGTTTCGGACAAGTCATTTAGTCTCTCTGCACCTCGGTTTCTTCATCTATGAAATGGGTGTGATGGTAATGGGCCCCGCCTCCTCAGGAATGAATGCGGAACCTGGGCGCGGCACTCTTTCCTGGAAGAGCTCCTTCTCATTGCTTTCTTTATCGTGTTGGAGGAAAGTAAGCCCAGAAGACTCCGTTGGGTGGCACCTGCAGCCGGCCTCTGCGGTACATCTGTGCTCTCCTTCCACGCTTCCCCCTGCACCTGTGAGGCTGGGAGCCTCCAGAGCCCCTGCTGCCTGGCCTGCCCACAATGCCAGCTTCCCTCTTGCATTTCCTGTGTCATTGACACCCAGCTCCAGCTCAACAGATGGAGGCCCTTTCCTCATGCGGTCACCGTGACCCAGCCCAGGCAAGCTCTCTGAGCTCTCCTACCCCTCTGCTCCCTACGAAAGGCAGGCAGAGCAGCCAGCGCAGGGGCCGACAGCAACCCAGCTGCAGTCCCCATGGCACCATGAAAGCCACCACAAAGCCCTCTGGACCTGTTGCTCAGGGCAACCACTGTCAGTCCCCAGGTGCTTGCTCCGCCACGTGAGGCGGCGCTCTCTCCCTCCTTCCCTCTCTTTCTTTCCATTGCTCTCTCGTTCTAGAGAGCCCTGAGCCAAAGTGCTCCAATTCCAAGCCCCCCAGAGTGGCACGGCTTCCCAGAGCTTCACGTTAACATCTCATTTGAAAGTCAGAAAGCTGAAGCCCAGGCTGGATACCGGAGGGACCCATCCACCTCCAGACCACCCCAAAGAAAGAGTCAAACCTCAGCTGCCCACTCCAAACCCACTGCTGCTGCTTTCCTCCCCGATCATCCCAAACACTGCAGATCTGGAGCCAGGACCTGCCCACTGGCCGTGCCCCTGGCATCCCCCCAGGGGGCTGTAACGCCTTCCAACCTTGCAGCCAAGAGAACCAGTTTGAATCCTCGAGCTGCATGTCATAGGCCCTTCTCACCCTGGGAACCAGGGCAGGAGCTCTGAACTTGGCAGGGGCCAGATCTGCTTCTGCCTCTCTCTGTTTTGCCTTCCCCACGGACCGTTCCTGACTCATCCAAGCCCAGAGAAACCTCGCACACCCCCAAGGGCTTGTTATTGGTGGTTTTGCTTCTAGATAGGATCCATACCCGGAACACAAGCTGTTACCAGAAGGAAGAGTCCCTGGACGGCTACAAAGCCATCAGCTCATCAGTGACAACTTTCCCTGGGAGGCAGTCGTGTGGGTAGAAATGACCTGCTCATCTTGCTCTCTCTGCCCCCTTGTGCCCCACCCAAAGTTCAGGCAGAAGCCAGGCTGACGGGGATCCAACACTCAGAGGATAACATCGGAGCCTCTTTATGACTGGGCACACATGCCCAGAGAGGGCCAGTAACTTCCCATGATGGCCCCACCCCTGTTTGGGCACTAGCCCGCACCCTCATAGTTGCCTTAGAAGCACCAAGAAAGTTCCACCAGAGCAGCAAGAGCAGCAGCTGCCTCCAGAGACCCCTTCTGTCCACACAGCCCCTTCCTCCTGTCTCAGGGTGGCTCTTTACCTGCTGCAGCTGGGCCAGGTGGTGTTGGCCCCTAGGAGTCAGCTGCAGGGCTGTGTCCTCCATCTCACGGTGTGACTTCCCTCCACCCACAGCTTCAGAGCCACACAACAAGGAGATCTGTGCTGCCCAAGGACAAGCCAGGCATGGACTGCACCTCGCAAGACCTGGACTAAGCCCTCAGTCCCCGAGTGTGAGAAATAATGGCTCAGCTCTTCCCTGCCCACCCACCCCCAACTTCCCAACCATCCTTTAGAATAACTTTGCTTTGATTTTTCAATGGAATTCTTTCTGTTTTGTATCACAAAAACGCAGTATGTCTTATGTAATAATATTATTAAAATTGTTACAGGTTTGGATTTTATATTGAATATATATATATATTTTTTTTAGTTCTTGTTTTTCAATACTGCGGTTTGAACCCAGGGCCTCACACATGCTAGGCAAGGGCTCTACCACTGAGCCAAAATTGCAGCCCCAATGACCTCTTTTTTGTTAAAGCATGGTGTTGAGCTTGGTTCTCGACTGTGAGCCCCAGGTGGAGCCTCGTACCCTGGGAGGGTTTCTCTCTGGCTTGCAGGGATGAAGCGGGTGTCTATAGAAATCACAAAGGGACCCTGCAACTTAGGGGGTACACTTCCTTGTGAATGGGATCTTTGCTAAATTAGGTTACTGTGCAAAGATGAATGCATTAAGAAGACCCCTAAATTTTTTGCAGAAAATATATTTTATTTAAAATCCCCAGCAAGGTAACATCCAGCAGGTAGGGGGCGCTCCAAGGTGGGAGTAGATGGCAGAGCTTGCTATAGGGAATGCCATGTTCAGAGGCCCTGGCTGTGTGGCTCACCTAGGCTCCTCCAAGTGTCAGGGAGGGCCTGCCTCAGCAGTCCAGGCTATTCTAGAACAGTGGCTCTGGACTCCAACGTCTGCTCCTCTGGTCCACGGTCCATCAGCCATATATATGTTTATGCCCGCCTGCTGTTCCCTTCTTCAGAAACTCCCCCTCCTGACCAAAGGCTCTCCCTGGACCGACTGCTGCAGATGTCCTCTGCCTGCTCTCCCCAGCCCCATGCCTCCCGCTCCAAGCCCGACGTGAGCGATACAGCCTGTGTGTGCACCTGACCGCCCTCCCCAGGGAGCCAGGCCATGGGGTGGGGTGGGGGGAGTCCAGGGCCCTGGAGGGAGCCTCCGCACAAGGTGGGAGTTTGGATCCAGACTGTAGAAGCCAGAGACCTTTAGAAAGGAAGACTGAGCCTGGATTGTAGAGGAATGAGAATGTCGGGAACCAGTTAGATCAGTTCTGAGGACAAGAGGAAGACAGGAAGGTTTGGGGGCCACCAGGAGGGACGGGGAGGGGAGGGTAGACACCAGGAAGGTCTGTCTGGGGCTGTGGGTGGGATAGAGTTAGGAGGGGAAGATGGAAAGTGACCTACTGCCTCAGGCAAGGCAGGAAGAAGCAGGGCCCAAAGCAGGGCGCCATGGGTGGAGGAGCAGGCGGATTAAGATCCCGCCAGAAGGGTGACATGTCGCGTGCCGGAGAAAGAGGGAGAAGGCCTGAGACTCAGGGCATTAGATCTTCTCCCCGAAGCCATCACGCTGGCCAGAAAAGGGATGCCAATCCTGAGGCCCAGAATTCACTTCCCACCTGCACTGTTCTCAAATCACACTTTACACAAATTGGAACTTATGGCTGACCCTCTTAAAGGGACGGGGCCTCCTCTTCCTATATGACCATCCGGGTTCCTCTGCTCTTCCCAAGACTGACTCACTCCTCCAGATGAGCTACGATGGCATGTCTATCAGATCTAGCCCCCCCCCCCAAGTCATACCTCCACCAGGACTTTCCCAGTGACAGGAGGGTCCCATGAACAGATGTGCAGGGCCTATCCCTGGAGCAGCAGAGAGAGGTCTCGTGCACACTGCTGACTTGGGACACCAGGTAGATAGAGAGAGCTCAGGCCCAGGATCCCTGGACTCTAATGCCAGATCTAGCCCTGAACTGCTGGGCGTCCCTCTCTAGCATTTAGTTGTCTCATTTATAAAATGGGGTGGCACCCTTTTTCTGGAAGATAGTCTCATAAGATGCCCTCTATTTAGGTCATTAGATATCATCACCACCTAAACTCTTTGGGCAGGGCAAGGGAGGGAGGGGGTCCTGCACCCCAGTGTGGCCCAGCCTGGCCCTCCTTGCTGCCCTACTCTGCCTCCGTTTCAGCTGCCGGTCCTGGAGGCAGAGAAGCTGCAGGCCTGGGTCAAACTCACCCCAGGCCAAGGCCCTGCTGGGAGGCACTGAGTCATTTGCTTTTTCCTGTTGACAACTGTCACTTCCCTTGGCACCAGGTCCATCGGGTCTCCCTCCTCCTCCCCAGCCCTCCAGCCTCTGTCCTCCATCCCCCAGTGTGACTCAAGTGTGCCCCCTGAAATCCCTGTGAACCCCAAGAAACACAAGGAGAGCAGGAGTTGGAAGTTTCTAGAATTTAAATATATAAAGTGCAACCACATAGCTTATCAAGACTGAGCACATCCTCTGAGTTGGAAGTTGGGGGGACGAGTGAAACCCAGTGATCTCCAGAGGCCGGGGTGGACAAGAACCGCTCGTCGTCACACCAGCAGGCAGGGTTTTACTTTTCCCAAGTAACCCTGAACCCATCTCTCCGTCTTCAAGGCACAGCTCTCTCTGCCTCCCTTCAGCCTGAAACTGTGAACAAAGAACACAGGAGAGGGCTGAGTCGCCAGAGTCACCCACTGAGTACCGTGCCCAAGTCCCCTCTCCACTTGCACGCACCCAGGTGACCCTGAGTATCCTCTCTGGGCCTTGCTCTTTCCCTTTAAATATGAAATCACTGTGATCTGTGGCTTGCTCATGGGAGGAGGGGGGCATCCAGAGCATCAGGAGCTCATTGATGGAGCTTCCTGGACCCTTCTCCTAGAGATTATGATTCCATGTGTCACAGTGGAACAGAAGACTTTGGAGACACGCTGAGGATTAGCTTAGATGAAAAAAAGTGGCCTCTTTGAATATCTCTCGGTGTCAACTTTTAGTGTCTCCTGTCCAGCTGGGACCTCACTCATTCTCTCGTGTGTGTGTTCTTTTCTGATCTGCCCACTTCCCAATTTGACTATTGCCCATTTCAGAGCCCAACTCTGCCTCTACTCTCTGGGAGAACTTTTGACAACTATCTCTTCCTCCAGGAACCTAAGTCGTCCTGATAACAGAAATGTGTGCTTCTGGGGTTTAGCAGAAACTGCCTTAGAAAGCTGAGCAGTGTCTGTTACCCCAGTCAAGTGTGGTGCAACCATCAGGCTGAAACCCCTTCACCCAAAAGCAATATGGAGGCGACCTGATAATGCGGTACAGAGGAGCTCCCAGTCCCCAAACTACAGGTTGGCAAATGCAGAGGCACGAATAATCATCACAACCTTGTTCTTTCCACTACATGATAATCCCAGTGCTTGTGTTAAGCAATTCCTTCCTCCGGGCATACAATACTGGGATATAGTCAATGGCACCTTGGACTTGCCAGAAACAAGTCGCTGCAGGAGTTCCTGGCACCTGCTGCGCAGCTCCGCGCGCCCCCTAGCGCCCAAGCGCGGCTCTGCATGCGAGTTTGTGGGGGGCCTCGCTCTCCGGATTTACAAAGCTTATTCTTGTGGAACAGCGCCATCTCGTGTCTGCTCTTGTCATTCCTGCCGACCACATTCCCTCTGGAGGGGAAGGACCCGACAGGTGATCACTCACATTGCAGCCTGGTAAGGGCAGGTGGAGCTGGTTTCTCTGTAACACTGGATTGTCTTCTGGGAAATCCTTTTCTGCGCAAATGAGAAGCAGCATCGGGAGGAAGAGACGTGCACTAGGAGACAAGCACAGGAGACAGCTTGCATCCCTCTCTCTCAGCCTCTCACCCACAAAGCCCCTCCCAGGACATCCCCAGGCTTGGGGACCACATCCAGAGGACTCCAGCACAGCCTGGTCTCAGCAGCCACCCAGGTGTGGGGTTAGGTGAAGAGTCAGAAGATGGGTTCAGATCGGAGCTCCCTGCAAACTAGCTGGCATTTGTGAGAAGGAACCCAGGCCTGGCCCAGACTTTCCTCCATTAAAAAAAAAAAAAAAAAAGACTTTAGGCCTTGGTTTCTAATGGTTCATTTATTTTGACATTCCAGCCCAAGTGTATGGTTCTGTCCCCAGGGTTCTAGACCTCATAACCTGGGGGATCAGTCAGCCCAATGCACACAGGACACTGTGGTTCCGAGTACACAGACCCGGGGCCAGATGAGCTCAAAAAGAGAAGGGAAGAGCTCCCAAGAACTAACCAGCTCCCCTACTCTGTCTTTTCTGTTCCCTTCTCCCCTGATGCTTAGCTGGTTCCAGGCTCCACCCCTACTCAGCTGGTTTCTACATTCCTCTTTCATCTATCCACTCCCCAGCCCCCAAAACTTTGCGTTCCAATCTTGGCTCCTTCCTCCTAGTTAAAAAAAAAAAACGAAAAGAAAAAAAAAACCCTTTCATGTCTATTACTAGATGGATATTCCTCCAACCCTGGAGGGTATGCAATTACCAAACTCCATTTTTACCAAGAGAGAAATCCATCTGAGAATTAAAGGGCCCGAGACTTGCTCAACGTTAGCCAACTAACGGGGCTCGAGCCTTGGTCCTGCTTGCAGATTCTGCCCATGATCTAAACACACTGTGGAGGCAAGACGCGAGCCAAGACCCGGCTCCTCCTCCTCTGGTCCTCAGGGCTCCCAGCCGGACTTAAAAATCTTGCAATTCCTCCAACTGCCTGCAGGGTCTGGACCAGACAGAGCCTCCTCAGGCTGAAGCTGGCAACTTCAAAGCTCTCCATGTTTGCTCCTGGTTCGTGGTCCTACTGGCCAGCTCTGCCCCCAGCCCACTGGAATCCCGCATTCCTCCTCTTCAGGTAGGAGGAAGGCAGACAGAGTGGGTGAGTTCCAGGTGAGTCCTGCCCAAACCCCCAGAGCACGCGCCTGCCTGCCTGCCCTCCCCAGGGGTAAGCAAAGGGACTCCGACCACACTTACTGCTCTTGCTGTCCACGTCTTGAGGCCATGTTGCAGCCAGCAGCAGGCACAGCAGGGCTACGGAGGTCAGTTTCATCTCGGATGTTTGGCTCGCGCCTCTTTCGAGCAGCCTCGGTGTGTTGGGTGAAGCCAAGGGCTCTCTCTGGTCCCATCCTCGGTGCCTGGAGCTTTTATCTGAAGACCTGGGGTGGGGTTTCCCAGGACAAGGGGAAGAGGTGGGAGTCACAGGGAGAGGGACAGTTACTCACACCCAGTGACCACATGGAAAAATCCTTTCCTCATCTCTCCTAGATGACATTCGAGGTAGGTTTGGGTGCTGGTTGGCCCCGGGAACTTCCCCAAGTGCAGGAGCCAAGATAAAGATCTCAAAGAAGCTCTCCTGGCTGAGTGGGAAGTCAAGAAAGGTGAGCGAGAGGAAGTGGCCCGTGTGTGGCTTCTCTAGCCCACACAGTTCCATCCCAGCCTGCTGCCACGCATGACCTGTGGAGCAGGATGGAGCAGAAGCGTTCTGGGCCTGTGCAGAAACACAGGCTTGCCTTGGAATCCCCGTTCTGCAAACTCACAGGGGCCTGCCCTTGCCCAAGTCACAGAGCCATCTGTGGCCAGTGCCTGGTCCCTGGGTATTTGGTATTTCTATTTTCTTTGTCCTTAGCACTTCCTTCCATTACCCTGTTCTGGGCCTTTCCTTAGCCCCAGGGAAGAGCTCCCTAGGAGATGCAGGGCCCCGAGCTGAGCCATTGTGCCTCAAGGCATAGACAAACAAGATAAAGCCATGCAGTGTAAGGACTGCAACAGATGGGCATGACCTGAGCCCCGAGGAGGTAGAGGAGCCACCTCACCCTGTGGTGTCGGAGAGCAATCTTTAGGCAAGGTCTCCTGCAGGCTGATGTGGGGAGGGCTGTGTTAGGGAGGAGAAAGGGTTTCTGCAAGGACTTCAAGGAACAAGGGAGCACACTTCATTCCAAGTCCAGAGGCAAAGCTGGACTGTGGGGATGTAACGAGGAATGGCTGAAGAGAGATATGACTTCCGAGGGGCCAGTTCAGACATTAAATCCATTGCTTGGAAGACACAGCACATAGCCCCGTGCAACTGTGTATTCCCCATGATCCCATCCACAGGTGCTCAGGAAAAGGTAGCTGAGTCAAATGTACGAGTGGAACATGAGGCCCGGGTGCATGATAGAGTTGTAGAGGGTTTTGGCTGGACGGGTCTATTTGATCGTGAACTTGCCAGCTCAGACCGTTGCAGTGGCTCCCCACCGTCCATCTGGTGATGCGCAAGCAACCCACTGGACACTTATGGTGCTTTTTGTTAGGTCTCAGTGGATTCTTTCATCCTGTTGTGACCTCTCTCTCTCTCCCTCTGGGAACACCCCGTCCGTTTCTAATACCACTGTCTCCACCAAGATGCTTGTGCTTTTCCACGCCAACAGGATCTCCTCCTGCTTTGAATGTTCCTGCGCCTGGGTCGCTACAGGAAGGTCTTATATTCCTGCAGCCCTCCTTGATGCTCTGGCATGTCTGGGTTGAAAGTGTCCTTCAAGACCATCCGCAATGGTGGCTCTTAAATTTTTTTCTGAGAGCGTTTGCCAAGGTGTGAAATTCTGACCATGCTAGAGAAAGAAAACTCCAAGTGATTCTCTCGGCACCGGAAGGAAAGAATCGTGCATCTGCCATGAGCTCTTCATAGTATCCTGGATCAAAACTGCTCTCCGAAAGGAAAGTCGCTTGCTCCTATTGAGAATGGGTTGCAGAGACAGGGGGGTAGGACTTGAGCCCTGGCCATCTGAGCTCCAAGTGCACCTGTCCCTGAGAACATGTTCAGCTCATTACTTGTGCTGAACCAGGAGCTATTTGGGGGGGTTTTCTGTCACCCCCCAAATAGTAAAAGTAGTTGAGATCACTGTTGTCCCTCTCCTGTTTGTTCCCTTGGTCCCCGGAGATGGATGGAGTTTTATTCCATGACCCTGGCATCTCCGGGGAGAGGGGAGTTGGTTGGCCAAATGTAACTCTGGGTCCCTTAGACTTGACAAATGGAGGGGGGGGAACAGTGTGGTCACCCAGGAAATTCTTTGCCCTCCCCCTCCTCTTGGGGCTGCCCCTCCAACAGCTCATTTCCCCTCCTCCCCCTTGCTGTGGCCACCACCAGCCCCACACAGGAAGAAGGACCAGCAAGACTTAGTCATGCCTTTCCTCCCCAGGCCCCCTTGGTACCTGGAGGGGACTCACTGCAGGCTCTGACCATACAGCAGCTTCATGGGCCACACAGGCATCTCCCCACTCCAACGTGGCCATCGACGGCAGGGACTTCATCTCTAGGCCCCAGCACAGGGGCCAGGACCAAGTGATGACTCTCTAAGATATTTGTGACATCGTGTGAGCCGGGACGAAATGACCTAGGAAGGATGCAGGAAACACCCTCAGGATAAACATCATGACTCGTATAAATAAATCTTTCCTTTTTTATTGGTGCATGTTGATTATACAGAATAGCGGGTTTCCTTGGGGGATGATCATACAGGCTTATAACAGAATGTGATCAATTTCACTCCCTGATAGCTTCCCTTACCCTCCCCCTCCCTCCCCTGATCCCCTTCCTCTACCTTCTTTCTACCTTCATGATGTCATTTTTTTTCCTTTCTAGCTTCCAATTTGAGAGAAAAATATGATATTTGTTGTTCTATGTCTGACTTATTTTGCTTAACTTAATGCTCTCCAGTTCCATCCATCTTCCTTCAAATGACACAACTTCATTCTTCTTTATGGCTGAATAATACTCCCGTGTACGTGTGTGTGTGTGTGTGTGTGTGTGTGTGTGTGTGTCATTTTCTTTATCCATTCATCTATTGATACCTAGACTGGTTCTAGAACTTGGCTATTGTGAATTGTGGTACTATAAACATGAGAATATTGTATTGATTATGCTGACTTTAATTCTTCTGGATAAATACCCAGGAGTGGTAAAGCTGGATCATGTGGTAGTTCTAATTTTAGTTTTTTTGAGGCACCTCCACATTGATTTCTATAGTGGCTCTACCAATTTGTGTTCCTACAGTGTCTAACCCCTTTCCCCACATCGTCACCAGCATTTATTATTGTTTGTATTCTCGATGACTGCTGTTCTGATGGAATCTCAGTGTAGTTGTGGTTTTCATTTCCCTGATGGCCAAAGATGCTGAGTATTTTCATAAAATTGTGGACTGTCTGTATTTCTTCTTCTGAGAAGGGTCTGTTCAGTTCATCCGCCATTACCTGACTGGGGCTGTTGTTTGGGTGTTGAATTTGTTTGTGTTCTTTATGTATACAGGATAGTAACCCTCTGTCTGAGAAGTTGACGGCAAGAATCTTCTCCCGTTCTATTAGGCTATCTCTTCATGCTGTGGTTTCTTTTGCTGTGCAGAAGCTGTTCAATGTGATGCTATCCCATTTACGGATTCTTCTTATTACTTTCTGAACTACTTGAGTCCACTCAAGATGTCATAGCTTGAGCCTCTATATTAAAGTATTTCCCCTGTTTTCTTCTAGCATTTGCCAAGTTTCTGGTCTACTCCCTAGGTCCGTGATCCATTCTGATTGACTACTGTACAGGTGAGAGAGAGAGGGATCTAGTTTCGTTCTTCTTCATGTAGATAACCAGTTTTTCCAGCAAACAAAATTTTTCTCCTGATTCGATGTTTAGAAGCTAGGAGGTGCCTGAAGGTGGTTATTCTTATTAGTCATCTTTTTGGAAATAGGTACGTACTAATTTACTGAAGACAGAGACCAGATAGACTTCAACCAGTATGGATCCATATTAAAATCATCACTTCCAGTGGTGTCCAGGGATATCCAGGGTGTCCTTGGGTTCCAGACTCTCTTGCCTCCCCCTTGCTGACCAGGTGGATTGGCTCCTGCCCCTGCCACCTGCTCTTCAGTCACAGCTCAGCTCAGCTCCCCCATGGCCAGAGACCCATGGGGGAAAGACATTTTCTCAGCACCACAGAGGTGCAGAAATACTTGTTGTTTTATCCACCTCTGGGACTGAGTTTTCCTAGTTTCCTTCCTAGTTTTCCTTCCTATCGGGAGGAAGAGGGTGCTCTCTGGAGTCAGGCATCACTGGGTGAAATCTCAGCTCCACGCTTGGCCTTGGGCAAGTAGCTGAGGCTTTCTGAGCTCTGTTCCCTCTCATAAGCTCCAGTGCAAACTGGCCCTGCTACATCTCTCCCTGTTGATTTTCAAAATAAGCTTCCCCGATTTTAACCTAATTTTGAGTTATCTGAAGGGTTAAGTGATATGTAAGAGGGAGGGAGGGGAGAGGGAAAGGAAAGGGGATTGGAAGGTTGAAGCCCCTTGTGGAGTACCTAACATGTACCTAACACCCCGGGGACAAGCAGGGCACAGCTCTGCCCTCGGGGACTGACAGCCCACTGGGGCGCAGGTCTCGGTGGGAAATATGAGACCAGCTCCAGGGGACAGCATCCTGAGAGCTGCAGAGTGTACGGAAGCTGTCACCTCTAGCACCAGGTCCCCTTTCCTCCTGGGTCCTGGACCACTCTGAGGTGTCCACACGTGACCAAGGCAATGCCACCACCTCCCTACAGAGGCCAACTTCCTAGACTCCTTCCTTCTAAGCTGGTGCTGCTGACACCCAGGCCAGGCTTTGTGCTGCTGCCGACAGGAGCGCAGGGTCCTCTGGGGTACTGGCCCAGGTCCGCTGGCCCCGCCCACAGCGAGGATGCGCAGCACCCCTCCCCCACCGGGAATCCAAAGCCCTGCCTCCTGGGGCAGGAAAATCTTCCACCTTTTCTTCCTACCGCTGCACACTTCAGTTCTCCTTAGAGCCCCTACCCCCACCCCCGTGTACCGCTCAGTCTCCATGTGAGCCACATTTGCACTTCACCCCCGTGCTGCGTCTCACAGCAACAGGCAGCCTGAGGGTGCCCAAGGATGTTGCAGCAGCGGCCATTGCCAGCTTCTCTGTGTGCTGCTGAGCCTGACAACTTGGCCTGCTGTGCGGGGGGTGAAGTGCAAATGTGGGCTATGCTCAAAGAGTCCTGCCCAGCGTGGCCAAAGGGCTCTGGCCACACAGCCTGGCTCACTGTCCTGTTCTGCATGGATCCTGGAACTTCATCGGCCCTTCTGCCTGCAGCC